GAGTGTGCCTTATAGCCACCAGCATGTGAGCGCCAGTGACTCACCTCTCTGCACCTCGGAGTAACCCACACTGACACGCAGCCAAATACACCGTCACGGCACACATAGGAGCCTGTGCTTTGTGGAGACAACATTGCATGAATTAACCGATTGTAAATTAAACCAAATTGAATCCATGCAACCAACCTTAACGCAAATCATAGAAAATAATAATAATACTATGCAGCACCTTTTTTAAACAACAAGGTTAACAAAAGGTTCTCAAGTTTTTGGAAGCCCAAGTATATATTGCTTAGATATTGAAAATTAAAGTTTTAGAGATTAATGTTTAAAGATTAAAGATTAATGTTTTAGGGAAGACCAAGGATACGCTAGAAGGACTATGTCTCTCAGCTGGCCTGGGACCGCCTTGGGCTCCCCCCAAATGAGCTGGAAGAAGTGTGTGGGGATAGGAAAGTCTCTGCTAAGACTGCTGTCCTGCGACCCGGCAACAGATGAAGCGGAAGAAAATGGATGGATGGATAGAATGTTTTACCTATATATCATCACTGTAGCATCAAAATGTAGTATTTCCTCACTAGTACCAACTTGAGTTTGAATTGTAAAATAACAATTATGTCAACCCGAGGTCCCTATGAAAATCCTTATTAGATTTGAGTCCCACCAGTGTGACAAACTCTCCCACATGAGCGAGAGAAGAACACCGTTATGTGGTCATATGTGTCTGGGAGCATGGTGTGCCATGGTGTGCAAGTGTCAACCGTAATCTGCCCTTTAACTTGTGTGAGCATGGAGCGGCCTTATTGTCTGTACATGTTGCCCTTTCAGTGTGCTGCCATAAACATGCCTCATGTAAAGAGAGCAAAGGGGGCTTTTTAATGCTGTGTGGCTGTGGTTAGTCAGCCAACCATGGCCAATGCTCTGTGGCAGCCAAGCCGAGCAGTGACCAAGACTCAGAGTGAATGTGTGCAGGCTGGAAGGGAGCAGAGATGCTAAGAGATGAGGGGTTTGCAGAAGGGAGAGGCTGAGAAATGGGACGAGTGATGATGCAGGAGTTGATAGGACCATGCTAAGCAAGACCAGCTTTACAATGCAATTTGAAACTCTTTTAGACCGAGACAAAAAAAAAAAAAAATCATATTCAATGCAAATTATTGCTATTATTATTGATTGATTGATATCATGCAGCCACTACAAGGGGATGTACTGTAATAAATTAAATTCTGAAATTGCAAACACAGCAGCGGATGTCTGCTGCAAAACAAAAATAGCAGTAGGTGTAAAACAGCATGCCTCATGTTTTAAATATACCTTTGTCTATCTTGTTTTCATTTAGTAAGTCTATCTTTGTGAATAGCAAAAAATGTCAAAACATTTCTTTCCCAAGGTTTAAGAAGAATGAGTAATGTTAAACCCAGTCATTAAACCCAGTCCTCTGTGTACTTATAACAGTCAACCAGTTTGTACAGTATCTGCACATGTGCTCCCATCAGGCTCCAGCTGAAAGGCATTAGTCAGGCCAGCAGGGAAATCCAGTGAAATCTACCCAGGCTAACGGAGCATTTCAGAGGGATGGATCAAGTCAGGACTGCCCCATAGAATCATTCACTAAGACAGAGCTATGTATAACAAACAATCTCCATCCTATATGTGCTTCTGTAGTGGCTCTGCATGCTTGGCTCCTGAGATTATCAAACAGATGCTGAGGAGATCCCAAAGCTCAAAGGAAAAACAAGCACAGGAGGAATGATAAAAGCACGATGCGTCTGGAATGTGTTGATACAGAGGCATGAGGGTGCACAGTGAAGACACGCAACAGTCGTATCACAGAGTTTACAAATCATCACTAAACTGCTAAAACATTCTCGCCGCTCTCAACATTATCACAGTATTTTGAAATAGAATAAAAAGACAAGACTTCAAACTCTAGCAGCAGAGGAACTTCTAATATCTATAGCACCTGCACAAAAGAATCTACTAGAATTCACAACTACATACACAGGAGAAATTAGATTACTTTACAAATATCTGTGGATCAACATTTTGAATTTTTAACTTTGACTTTTAAAATGCATTAAAGCTTCTTGCCTTACCTCTGTAGAAATAAATCCCATACATCCAAACTTTTTCCCCCCAATAAGTCAAAGCGGTGCCTGTTTGAGTCAGTGAGCAGAGCGTTGTCTACCTGCGTGGGCTGTGTAAATATATCCTGGCGGCGGATGAGAAGCCGTGGTGAGTGAGAGGGGAGTATGCTACAGGGCAGACGTCCCGTGGTCTGGCAGACTGAGTAGGATGGTTCCCTCACATCACAACGGCTGCCTGGATACACCCACCTCCAGAGCCTGCGCCAAATAGAATCGCTCACATGGTTTCAAGAACAAAAAGAGGGAAAGAGAGAGAAGGCTGGACAGCAGTACATGTACAAGGTTATGCTAATACTAAGGAAGTAGGACACCTGTACACTTGGAATCTAATTTGGATTTATCTGATTGACTTTGCAATTGCGATGCAAGCATGAATTAATTTGAGCGTGACATTAACAAGTATAAACAAGTGTAAACTATAGTCCATTCATTGCAAAAGAAAAAGATAAAACCCCAGTAAAGTTATGCTTGAAATAGTTTTGGCATTCATGTCTTTGTTTGAATGAATCAGATTTGATTATGAACGTTGGAACAAACAAAAAAGTAATTTGTCGCTGAAAAAAAAATGCAATTGTGCTTAGGGCTAAAGATACTACTGACATTGGCAAATTATACTAAACTCCACATATTTAAGCGACTGTATCCCCAATTTGCCAGAAAAGCATCGTGATTTGACGATGTTTTATTGCTTACATGGAGATTTAATATGTGAGGTGAAAATGAGGTATTTAAGTAATATAATATCTTCATTATATTCATATTTTCAAAATGTCTACATAAAAAATATTGAAATATGAGGGGGCTTTCTTGTTTCATTGGCAAATTTTGGAAACTCGCCACAGTAGAAGAGAGAGGCAAAAAACAGCCCAGGTGTACGGGATCGTAAAAAGGTGTGACAAATCTGCTGCCAAGGTTTCATAAGAGATAAACAAAATGAACGGTATCAATGAATAATCCAGTGAGGCACACAGCGGCTGTTTGAGCGCCATAATCTGCTCTGCTGAACTGTGGATCAATTCCGATTTGTGTAAAGTATAAAGGTAATATAATCCTAATCTATTCTAATCTACTTTAGTGACTGCAATTAAAACACTATTATTTTCCCCATGGATTTCTCAACGTACCTGTGGCTGTGCTAGAGAAGAAATAGAATGTGCTTTCATGAAAAGCATACTGTATAAAACAAATTGAAAAAGATTGTTTCTATTTATTTTTTTTACACTATACTTTTGTACTATGATGTCCATTGTTTTCTTGAGTAAAAAAAAGTGTATTTTTTGATTTATATTGTTTGCATCATGGAGGCATTTTGACCAAAGTATTACTGGTGTTTAACATTACTTTTGAAATTCTTTTCAGGTGTTCAGATAAAGTTGGCTTGAACCAAACCTGGGCGAAGGTGGATTACAATTGTAGACTGAAAGGCCAACTCTTTCTTTTTTATTTAACTTTTTTTTAATGAATTTCTATGTGGGTTCAATGTTCATGATATACATTATATTCTTCATTTCTTGGAAAGGAGCTTTGAAGTCAAAAATCTAGGGGTAATCCTGGACTCAGACTTAAATTTTTATAGCCACATCAAATCAGTAACATCAGCAGCTTTTTACCATCTAAAAAACATTGCCAGGATCAAAAACATAGTGTCTAAAGCAGACTTGGAGATTCTTATCCATGCATTTGTCTCCAGTAGGTTAGACTACTGCAATGGCCTGCTCACAGGTCTGTCCAAACAGGCTGTAAAACAGCTGCAGTACATTCAAAATGCAGCAGCTCGAGTCCTGACTAGAACCAGGAAGTACGACCACATTAGTCCAGTTCTCAGGTCTCTGCACTGGCTTCCTATGGCTCAGAAAATAGACTTTAAAACAGCTCTGCTTGTGTACAAGTCTCTCCATAGCCTCGCACCAAAATATATTAGTGACATGTTAGTCCCATATGAACCAGCCCGGACTCTGAGGAGCACAGGGACTGGACTCCTGTTAGTGCCCAGAGTCAGAACTAAACATGTGGAGGCTGCTTTTCAGATTCATGCTGCTAAAATCTGGAACAATCTTCCTGAAGATGTGAGACAGGCCTCCTCTCTGACAATGTTTAAAACCAGGTTAAAGACAGTTCTGTTTAGCTGTGCATACAACTGAGGGATTTTATATTTTTATCTTTCTTTTTAATGTTCTGTGATTATATATGATTTTAATGCTTTCTTATTTTGTTCAGCACTTTGAATTGCCTTGTGCATGAATTGTGCTATATAAATAAACTTGCCTTGCCTTGCCTTGCCTTGAAGAAATGTGTAAAGATGCCATGGTAGCCTAACTCTTAAATCAACGCCTGAAAGTTGATAATTGAAAATAACTGTAATTATTAACCCCTTTGTTAAGAGATAAAGTTATGTTTAACATCAACCCATTATTTTCAATATAAAGAAAGATTATCAAAATATCTGACTCATTAGTCATTTCTCCGCTTCTGCAGACAATGCCCATCACACACCAGTGCACACCAATGTTCAATAAAAAACCATAAATTCCTTTTCAACAGCACTTGGTCCAAAAGAGATTATTATTATTATGGGAATATTAGCCAAACCAAACCATTACTCCCCATGAAGATTTAAATACAAGGTCAATGCACCAAATCTCCTCTAAATGTAATTTGTCTGTGTCGAGTATGCTTTAGTTCTTTTAATATAACATCACCACGCATCAGGTACAATCATAATATCAGGTGACTTTAATTAAAAGTGATGCATGACTGGGGTATAAAGGAGCTTGTTGTTAAGCAGTAAACTGTAGTAGACTTCAGGACATACTTCTCATTCTTGAAGTGCACCATTGCCAGTCGCTCAACATGCCTTCATTTTACCCCTGTAGAGTCCCTCTTTTCGGGGAGACGCTGGAGCACGTTGAGAGGGGTGTTCTTGCGGTCCAAGGCTTTCAGCTGCCACACACCACCCACCTCCTCCAGCTCTGCCCTGAGACCATCCAGTCTCTGGGGACAAAGCGCGCCTTGATAAGGTCCAGCAATTCCCCTGCTCAGTGCATAGTGAGTGTGCTCATTACTACCAACACAGGTTAAGGGTTAAATTCCTGTGGGACCTGCCTGTAGGTGGCATCTCAAAGAGATCTAAAAGGGGATCTGTGTCTTTACGTTTGAAAAATAAATAATTTATGCACCTATTGAAGCCACTTGAATGCACTCGTCTCTGGTCACTAGAATGACACATGAATGACTCTTTGGGCAATAGCAGCTTTTGAACAAACTATGTAGTCTTAAAGTGAGCAGGGCGGACCATGCTTGTCCAAATCTAATTCCAGCCTCATTTTTCAACACATACTGGTGCTGTATATTAATGCATCAAATATTTTTGGGACACACCATTAATCGTTCACTCTGTAGTCCATAGACGGTAGTTGTAAACTACTACAGTAGCCCCAGACAGAATAGATGCTACTAATCCATCGGCCCCTCTACCCACCACAAAACATTTCTGCACAAATCAGAGTCATACTCCCTCACAGTATTTTCTTTTTCTTAAACGCATGATTGGTTAGTCTTACATTGAATGTTAATCTTGAACCTAAACCTCACTTCTGTTTCTGAATTACAGACTTCAGTATGATCGTCTGAATACCGGTAGTTATTGAATTACAAATATGTAGTAGTTAGTTAGATAATAGTTTGGTTAGTTGTTGGTACTATCACCAACCTTTGTCTTGCAAATGGTTAAACAGTTAAATAGTTACTGTGAACTATGCTGAGAACATACAAGTGCTCACCAAAGCATTGGCGTACACCAAAGTGTGAATGTGCAATAATATAACTTTAAAAAGAGGAGTTTTCAAGAGAACATAAACAACACATAAATTAAAGATTATACATAAAGTACATATATATGATAACGGATATCTCTGATACATAAGCCATACCCTTGGCATGCATAATTACTTGCTGGTACCACATCTCAAATCCATTTGGTTTTTAACATGCAGTGATCCCAGTGGAGCAGTGGTGCGCTGCTATAGTATTCAGTGACCTAAAAAGCATCTTCTGCACAGACCTGGAGCATTCGGGTAGCAGTGAGCAGAAACTGAACCAAGACATGCCCCAACACCAAAGAAGCATTATGCATTCCCCATCATTAGTGCTCCTCCACTTAACCATCCCGATAACATGAACGAAGAAAGCGCATACCCAACGATATGCATTTTCCCTGCTGACCAAGCAAGCGGCCGATCTGCAGCGGCATGCGAAGCGGTTCAGTCTGCAAACAGAGCCAGTAGCAGCATCCTTTGGACAAATGCAATATGTGCAAACTGAGGAGAGACGACACACCTGTCATTTCGTATTTCTACACTGCATCCAGCAACTGCGATCCTCCCCCTCCGCGTAAAACAAACAGTCAATAACACTTCAATCTACAGTAACGCGTTTGACAACTTAACACAAGCCTCCTGCAAATGCGTTTAAGTGGGAGAATACGTAAATAGCATCTTACCGCACAAACCGTGGTGGGGTACTGTGCACTGTCAGATGGAAGATGCATCGCAGTGAAGGAGGGAAGGATGCTCAACACTTTCATTTTCCTTTGCATGGACAATGTCGCCCCCTTCTGGACAAGATGCGCCGGTAGCAGTCATTCTCACGTGGACGAGAAAAAAACATCACGTTAAAAGCATTTGTTTCAATAATTCCGTGCACTTACGTGTTTTGTAAATACATATATATATATATATATAAATGGAATGTATCCCGTTGACAATGACCGCATCAAAAAATGTGCCTGTCTCGCCCCGCCCCTGCTTGTTAAGTTTACTCATACACTGTAAATATTATTTTACGCCAATAAAATATTGTAAAGATTGTTTTTCACCTGTAGAAAGACAGAAAATGCTTCTGCGCTCTAAATGGCCAAAGTAGCTTGTTCCATTGTATCGCGTTATAAATCGTAATTTTCCATGTTGAGCTTATTACTTGCAAAAAATATAATTTAAACAAACAAGGCAAGGCGTAAATTCGCTCATTACCATGTTAAACTCGTCTATTATCACATTAATAATACCAAATACGCCATAGCAACGGGAGGAGCTACGTCCAGGCTACGTCGATAAACTACAAAAATGGACGCCGTCAAAGGACCTTACAAGCGTGCCCTCGTGTGCCTGCATAATTCTGGGGTTTATTTAATGAATAATTCCGTTTATATTACTCACTATCTACTTTAAAATGACCCCAGCCAAATAAATCACACATATCTACTATCATGTCTGTCATTAGCTCATTTGTGTGGAGTGGATTGCCTACGTGCCAGGCGCATGACCATCGAGGACGTTGAAACCATTGGGTCTTGCGGAAGGAAAAAGCGCCAACTTCTGCGGTAGCTGGGAATTAATCGAACAATACATTTGAATTGAGAGCGATATGGGATTCTCTGTAAGATTTACTGAACATCAAACGTACATGGCAAATTCTGGTAAGTGAATAACTGCTAAACATGGATGTGGTTGTGTAATTACAAGGTTTCATGGAGCAGCATGTTGCCTGTTCTCCTCCCACTTCACCACACCGCTGCTTTGACCCATTTAAGTTGCTCGGTTGTGGGCAGAATGTGTAATATTTCTGAATTAGACCCGATGTGTGAGGGCCATTGAACTGTGTAGGGATGTGATCTGTCAATGTATGTCGCTGTTAGTTGCCAAAATGCAGCAATTTGTTGAGTTCGCACAGCGGACAATGAAAACATAAAGTTAGCGTTAGCCTGCTGCTGTCGCTGCTGCTAACCTATTATATAATGATTGCTAATGTCGCTGTTTCGCTTCGCGGGCAATAAGCGATTCAACAATGGTTTCTATGAATTAAATCTCTTGTGTTAGCTCAATGTATGTCACTTTACATGCGTACTTTGGAAATTATTCGTAACTCTTGATGGCGCCTAATGTTTTTTTCTGTTTTATATCTTCTTTTCGCCAGTGTGGGGTGCTGTTCCTTCGATGTAAACTGGGCCTGAACGCAGATGCTCATAAAGATGCCAGTACTTCAGGGAGGTACAGTTGTTGCGACTCTGGGCAGCCCCATCAAGAAGAATAAGTTGTCCCTCAAGTTTTTCCATAAAAAGGAAACCAAGCGAGCTTTGGACTTTTCTGAACCTCAACCTGATGAAGCGGAGGAGTCAGTGGAGCAGGAGCCAAGGTAAGCCTGGGTGGAGCAAAAAGAAATTCCATATTCAATTCTATTATAGTATTGTAATGGGTCCAATCCGGTCCAATGCAATTAAATGAAACATTTTTGTCTAGGGGTGATGGAAGATCACAAGGGTTAATTTCAACCATGATAACAATAACAATACATTGAGGGTAGGCCTCTGACCGTATTGACATAACTTATTTATTTCACAGTTTACAGGGAATCCAATCCAATCCACTTTATTTATATAGCACACAAGTGCTGCACAACAAAATACTAATAAAAACTTCCAGAGTAAAACAGTGAAATAATTAAAGATGAAATATGAAAATTAAAACCATGTGTGCATATATGTATAATAATAAGATAAAATAAAAGGACCATACAATGCAGTGTCCCTGGGGTACTCCACAGTGCAAACGGGTGGAGGTGGATACCCCCAGCCTGACAGTGAAGGACCGCCCTGACATTATTCAAGACAATTTAAAAGAGTTGCATGGGAAGCCAGAAATTAACAAATATTGGTTTTGACCAGATTATCAGCTACATGAAATGACCAGTGTACATTTAGATTGAACTCTACTCTCTATTTGGAGTAGACACTGGGTGGAGCAGGGCGGGTCACAGCCGCAGAGGCTCCACCTCGCTAGCTGCTTGTTTCGGACCATACTTAAATGCAGTAAAACAAAATTATTTTGTATCAATATTTAAAGACATGTACCTCATGTAGATAGGTAGGTGTCTTCAAAATAAATTACATAAAGATGTGTTAACTTGAATTAGCAATTTTGTGCATTATCTAAACAAATGTGAACCTTCTGTATTTTCAGCAGCTGTGATCAGGTCTTTGGGCCATCACCATGTCCATCTTCTCCCAGCCACGTTTTATCTCTGGAGAAGAAGGAAAACCTTGTCCCATTCATTGGCTTCAACAATTTAGGAAACACCTGCTATTTGAACAGCGTGCTGCAGGTGAGACTGAGTCTGATGTCACAGCTGTGTCTTCCAGCAGTGTCCTGGTTTCAGAATGGAGCTCATGTTGTAGAGCTGTTGCATGCTTGGTCTAAAGCTTGTTGTTAAATCATGGTTATCAGATTGTGTCAATGGTTTTGTAACACATCATGAACCCTTTACTGCATCTCTTTGTGTTGTTGGCTTCTCTCTTTTGACCCATTTATATTTCAATGCATTTTCTCCAAGTGCATGTGCAGAATACTTTTGTTAGTTTCTCATCAGTGGTACAAAAGCAAATGTGTATGATTATTATATTAAGCAAAGGGTATTTTACTTAGAAGTTTGCCTGAAGTCTGTTCACTTACCGTAGGAAATAAATCATTATCTGTCTTGCAGGTTCTGTACCACTGTCCAGGACTTCGAGAAGGCATAAAGAGCCTGTACAGTCTCTCTAAAAAAGAAAAGGCGAAGGATGAAAGTGTGAACACTGAAGAGGTTTGTGATGTTGGTTGTGTTGTGTATTTTGTTCCAGTTTACGTTTGTAACATTTGTTTATGTGCCTTTTTTTAAAGACCGAAGAGGAGAGCGTTCCACCTTACATAGATCTCCTCTGCAGCTTCAATAACCTCATCACATCAGTGGAGGAATTACAGTCCAGCTTTCTGCTCAACCCCGATGGCTTCACTGAGGGAGACATGGCCACGCCTCCTCGCAAAATACTCAATACTCTCAGGTGGGCAAAAGGTTTTCACGGAGTACCTGCCTTTTTCACATTTCACATCATTTCAATGAAGATCATACTCATGCCTCCTTTCATTCTGGTGATAACACACTGGCTTTTTATACAAAAAAAGCTGTATTATTTGGACTATAAGTTGCTCCAGCCAATTTACAATATGTGTGTTAGTTTGCTTCTATTGAAGCCATATTCTTAAACATCCATTTTAATCTAATAAATCTCTGTGGTTTACTTTCATTATCTGTGGCTTATTATCTGTTGGATTTTGCTCCATGTCTTTTCTACATTATCAGGAATAAACACTGTGAACACCAGTAAGGCAAATGGTCAAAATTTACACTTCTATAGTGGTCAGTGATTTAACTTTCTATTATCTAAAGATATTATTGTCAGTTTTGGATGAATGAACATCTTTAATCAAATTATGTATTATCCCTTACAAGAAGCTAATCTATTTTAGCAGGTTTGGGGTTGGGGTCAGTTTTTATACAATGGTGTTGAATTCTGAGTCTAATCTGTGCTGATGAAATCCTACAGCTTTTTAAACTTCTCAAAGATATCTAAATATCTTACTTTTGTTTTTGTGCTATACACAAAATACATCAACATGCTTTTATAAATCTCTGTTGGTTGTAATCTATCTCATTGATCTAAGCTACATTAATCTAGGCCATGGGGTTCCCAAAGTTTTTAGCCCGCGACCCCCATCATAAATGCCCTGCTAAACTCGCTGTAAAAGAAAGTATTATCTGACCAACTTGAATGCAGTAAAACAAAATTATTTTGTATCAATATTTAAAGACATCTACCTCATGTAGATAGTTAGGTGTCTTCAAAATAAATTACATAAAGATGTGTTAACTTGAATTAGCAATTTTGTGCATTATCTAAACTTTTTGTTTTTGTGCTATACACAAATACATCAACATGCTTTTAAATCTCTGTTGGTTGTAATCTATCTCATTGATCTAAGCTACATTAATCTAGGCCAGGGGTTCCCAAAGTTTTTAGCCCGCGACCCCCATCATAAATGCCCTGCTAACCCGCGACCCCCCCCCCCCCCCAACAGCCCTTCCGTCACATGAAATGAGCATGTATTTCCTTGATACGGAGTAACGCTTTCTAGAGACTCACGCCACTACCGAGCTGCACATGTCCAGCCCGAAAAAAGGAGGCTTGCATATTTTTACTCATGTAGTGACTCAGTGATGGGCTTGGGGTGGGCTCCCTCCTCAGCAGAAGTGGAGCGCATTTTCTTGCGGCTCGACCCTCCACTGGTCTCCTACCGCGGTAAAGTGGGCCGGCTTTCCGGAGTCAGCGGTAAAGAGGTCCGCACATTAAAAGCGGGCGGCCGCTTTCTGCTGTTACTTTATGCGGTTCATCCCCGCGGCTTCTCTTTCCAAAGTTACTGTCAGTAAAGGCATAAAGCGGCCACCCGCTTTTAATGTGGCGGACCTCTTTACCTTTGACTCCGAAAAGCCGGGCCTCTTTAACGCGCTGTTCTACCGCTGTCCCTCCCTCCCTCCCTCCGCTGTCCTCCCTCCCTCCTTTGCCCTCCCTCCCTCCCTCTGCCCTCTCTCCCTCCTCTGCCCTCTCTTCGCACCATCAGCCTGACCCCCTGATACAAGTGACTTTTCTCCCCCTCCGGGTTTTTCTGTTGTGGATATTAACCACGTTTCATTTTAAAGCAGGTATTATTTATTTGTAGCCTCCAAACACCTTTAGTTTTAGCAAACAACAGCAGGACACGCTTGTGTCGCTGCGCATGATGTGAGCTGTGTTACGTGATGATTTTGATTGACGCTGCAATGACTGGGACAAAAATACTAAACGTTAGTTAAAAGTACTATTCTAGTCTCCAAACACAATTTAACAAGTAGTCCTTTTGAATCAAATCAAATGCTAAATAAATATTTAAGGGCTTTATATTTTCTCCAAAAAAAAAAAAATTTTTTTTTTGTTTGTGTGGAAATCATCTTGCGACCCCCCCAGGGGTTCCCGCGACCCCCCGGGGGGTCGGGACCCCCACTTTGGGAACCACTGATCTAGGCTACACTCATTAACTTTTTGAAGTAAATGTTTGTGAAATGGTCCCTTTACCATTTGATATTAGCACTGGCTACAAATAATCTCTATTTTTGAAAGCATCTATGGTTGATGCATTTATCTAATTCTATTTCTACACTATTGTGACTCCAAAGCTCGGTTGCAGCTTGAGCAAAGGCATATTCCTAATTTGTGACTTCTGTCACTTTTAATGGCTGTAACATAACTCTGATTCTAATATTTTATCTGATCTATCAAAAGGATAACATTGTAGGGTACTATTTTAACTCTTATGTGGAAATATGTTTATGAAAAACAAAGGAAGGACAATTCTACTCTTTTACTACTATTTAACATCTACTAAAACGCTACAATACTCATACTTTATCACTTTAACACATTTTAACTGTTGCTCAGTCTCCCAGACTAAAAAGTCAAAGTTTTTGTCTGTCAGATGTCTGAATACTTAACATGTATATTGCATTTGGTCACAGGTTCTGGTTGTAGCAATAGCATCGGCAATAGACGATTTTCATTGGCTGGTTCTTGTTCTAGCAAATGGTCTGTGTCTCAATAGATCATCAGATGTCCAGAAGCTAGGGACAAACAAAAACAAAAGAAAAGAATCATGAGTATCTCTCTCATTTAGCACTCATCAATGGTATTATTTTACATAACATTACACATTAAAAATATAAACATCACTCCCCAGTTTTTCTCTCCAAGTTCCTCAGATCCTCAGGGGTCCTCAGGTTCTCAGGTCCTCAGGGTCCCCTGAGGGTGAGTCTCAGTCGTCATCAGGTCAGGTCATATTTCGAGAGATGTCATCTTGGACATCAGTAGGGTCCAAGCCATGGTTTTGGTCTCTCCAGATGCACATCAGGATCTCCAGATACAGTCTTTTCACTTGGGTCACATCAGGTCATTTGCGATGCACTTCTGGTCAATGGTGCAGTGTCTCAGTTCCTGTACACAGCTTGTAATGCAGTAGTTACTCTCTATGGTTAAGTCACTTTGATTCTACTTTAACACAATTTCTATTCATGCTGTTGCTTCTGTCCCTCAGACAAAAGCAAGCGCAGTTTACTTCTCTAATTTGTGTTTTTATCAGATCTAATTCTAATCAATGTAATTACTTCACACAGTACAAAATCAACAAATCAAAAGTGTCAGGACAGAGGTCAATTAGTCCATGACAATATAGAATTCAAATGAACATTTCTGGTCTCAAAAAATACTGATTCAACTAAAGATTCAAGTGATAGACAATTAAAAATATTTGTTTACATTGGAGTAAACTTTTAAAATGCTTTTTTCTCATGTTCTGCTTTTTCATGTATCTATATGTAAATGTGAATGTGTGTGTGTATGAATGTATGTGTGTGTGTGTGTGTGTGTGTAGGGTGTGAATTTTGGGGTTGTCTCTCCAGACTCCTCGAACCACCTGTAGGTCTCAAAGGTCACACTGTGGTGATGTAAACCAACTGGACACACTTTCAACTCTCATTCAGGTCTCTCCCTGACGCTCCACCCATCACGTCTCCAGAAACCTCTCTTTCATGGCCCCGGTCTCTCTCACACCCACTCAGTTCTGCAGTGGCGTGGGGAGGGGCAAGGAGGTGGCATTTCCCTTTGCTCTTTGATCTGTGACCTGTGGCTGAGGTGGGCTTTGGTGTCCAGTGTCCAGCAGTGACCTCTCGTACAGTGTGGCAGAGTCTGAAAAACAATCCTTGAGACGGCCAATTTAAAAAAAAACATAGATATCAGTATGCGAATGAGATTGTTTTTTTTTTTTTTCTCCCTAAAGTCAAAACAATTTTGGAGCGCTCTGGGTTTCCAAGCGCTATGTAAATAAAGATTACTTATTATCTTACTAATGATGACATTTTTTAAGACCAGAAACTCTTAATATAAAAAAACAAGACTCAAATCTCAAAAATCTTCAACCTTTAAAATATGTATTATGTACTTTTGTACTGTGTGATTAATTATCTTGCAGCATTTTTAGAGCCAGTCTCCTTCTGCTGTGGCCTCAGCAGGAGGTTAGCAATGGTCATGGCGTGTAGTCAAAACAAAAACGTCCCCACTTGAATGTTGAATTGGGTGAATTGGGTACATGTTCTACTTAATAAACTTATTACAGCGCTAATTCCCTCTTTGTTTTTAGACGAAGTCTATAATCAATAAGCCACTTTTAACACAGATTTCTAATTTAAATGTGTGTTATGAAACGGCTTTTGTAACTAAAATGAAAAATACATGAAAAAATTCTTCACAAACAGCTATGACATATATCAGAGCGACAATAATGGACTCAAAAATACGCAGCCGATTTAAAAGAATAAAAAGTTAAGCGCTTTTTTGTGTACTAATCTTTGGGTTTCAAAAAACATACTAAATTCAAAACTTCTATTCCCTAATGGTGTTTAAAACGTTTAACTGTGTCTAACACAATGTTCAATTGCAAATTTCGCATAATTTACGGAATAACAACTATGAACAGCCAAAATCCTAAAAGCAGTAGCTTTGCTCTGATATTCAGAGCCACGGAGCAGCAAAGGTAGGGGGCCGTTTCCCTGACCAACGGCAGCAAGATAGAGCGGCGCACACAGGCAGAAAGCAGTGTTTTAGCAAAAATGCAAAAACAGAAAGAAGAATAACTTTCAAGATTACTTTGTTAAGCAGAATATAACTTGTAAGTTTATACCCTTTTGTCATCCAAGTCTAGAAGTGATCACTTTCCACACTAGTAACAAATAGGCACCTTTTGTCTTTAACGTTTACGCTTCTATTTTATCGAGGTAGCAAACTAATTTAAACTCAAAATCTCTTTCTAAAAAACAAAAACAACTGTTGGATACAACCCTCTCATAGCTTAACTGTAGATAAAACTCGGCAAAAAATGTAAATAACTCCCGAAAGCTCTCATAACTCAACTTTAGATAAAACTCTGCATTCTCCGGTGAACTCTGTTCACGCCGAAAACAAAAACTCCCTTTTTCTGTATGTAATTTAAACCGTGATCACTGAAATATTGTTGCTTCTTTACTTTTGTCATTTATCAGCCTGAAATTTGTCAATTTCAAAGCTTTTGTAACAAAGGCCTCTTTAACACATTTCCCTTTTTATAATTACTTTTAATTTTACACCATGGTTTCACTTAGGATCCTTCTCTATCTTTTCTCAAAGGGACTCTAACCCCGAAAACGTTTTCTCAAAGGGACTCTAACCCTGAAGCTTCTTCTCAAAGGGACTCTAACCCTGAAGCTTCTTCTCAAAGGGACTCTAACCCCGAGACTTTTTCTCAAAGGGACTCTAACCCCGAGACTTCTTCTCAAAGGGACTCTAACCCCGAGACTTCTTCTCAAAGGGACTCTAACCCCGAGACTTCTTCTCAAAGGGACTCTAACCCCGAGACTTCTTCTCAAAGGGACTCTAACCCCGAGACTTCTTCTCAAAGGGACTATAACCCCGAGACTTCTTCTCAAAGGGACTATAACCCCGAGACTTCTTCTCAAATACAATTTAGAGAGTTTGACAGACCCCAAAAACAGACCAAAATTTAGCTAGTATCCAATTATACAGACTTTACATATAAAAAGGTGTCTGCTTACCTTATTCTTGTCAAACAGGTACCAAGGACTGTCCGAGAGGTCTGCCAACCTCTTTTCCGCGTCGGAATATTCAATTTAAAAAAACAAAAGTGACAGAAGCGACAAGAAGCATCCAGGAACAGCTCTTCCAGCCTGTTGGAATCTCCGCTCCCAGACGCAGCATGCCGATCTCTCACGCAGAGGAAAAAGAAACAAAGCAAACTCCCTCAAAACAATCCAGAGAATGGCACACACGGAGCCGCACATTCTCCACCAAATCTGTCAGGATTCAGCAGAGAGAGACGGATCGCAATGGTGGCCAAACTCTGGAAGTTTATTTTGTAACAGTTTATATATCATGAACCCTCGAAAGACATACTGCATAGTCTAACATGGAGTCCTTGTAGTGTCCTTGTACAGTCCTGCACGTCTCATATTGCTATTAATACTCAAATGGTTTTGTCTCATGAACCCTTTACTGCATCTCTTTGTGTCGTTGGCTTCTCTCTTTTGACCCATTTATATTTCAATGCATTTTTTCCAAGTGCATGTGCAGAATACTTTTGTTAGTTTCTCATCAGTGGTACAAAAGCAAATGTGTATGATTATTATATTAAGCAAAGAGTATTTTACTTAGAAGTTTGCCTGAAGTCTGTTCACTTACCGTAGGAAATAAATCATTATCTGTCTTGTACTGTTCTGTACCACTGTCCAGGACTTCGAGAAGGCATAAAGAGCCTGTACAGTCTCTCTAAAAAAGAAAAGGCGAAGGATGAAAGTGTGAACACTGAAGAGGTTTGTGATGTTGGTTGTGTTGTGTATTTTGTTCCAGTTTACGTTTGTAACATTTGTTTATGTGCCTTTTTTTAAAGACCGAAGAGGAGAGCGTTCCACCTTACATAGATCTCCTCTGCAGCTTCAATAACCTCATCACATCAGTGGAGGAATTACAGTCCAGCTTTCTGCTCAACCCCGATGGCTTCACTGAGGGAGACATGGCCACGCCTCCTCGCAAAATACTCAATACTCTCAGGTGGGCAAAAGGTTTTCACGGAGTACCTGCCTTTTTCACATTTCACATCATTTCAATGAAGATCATCCTCATGCCTCCTTTCATTCTGGTGATAACACACTGGCTTTTTATACAAAAAAAGCTGTATTATTTGGATTATAAGTCGCTCCAGCCAAAAATGCATAATGAAGAAGGAAAAAAACTAGGGCTGGGACTCGATTGAATAAATAAATGTAATTAATTCGAGGCTTTGTAATTAATTAATCGCATATAAATATTTGTCCTGAGAACAGTGAGAAGTAATTTTTTTCACATGGATTTTTTGTTTACCATTGAATAATGACTGAATACAGAAGCTTAAGCAACACATGTTAATTGTGGATGATAAGGGGATCAGACGGACTTCTTTCCCATCAAATAACGTATCTGTCATTGACTCCACACTCTCTGACCACAACATTTGCTCCAAAAGTCCAAAGCCCTGTCCCAATTCTCACCCTTAGCCTTAAAAAGCACCCTTGCCCTAGATTTAGTGCGTGCCCGCGGGGGTTGTAGGGTGTCCCAATACTTAGGGAGAAGAGGCGAGGGCCCTCACACCCTTAAAAACCACCCTCGCCCTCAAGTGAGGTCCGGAGCTCACTTGTGTTCTAGGGTGATCCATGATGCATTATGATAGTTGGTAGTAGATGTCAGGCAAAGCCGCGCCACAATGAAAGGAAACGACACGAAACATACGGGAGCAAGTTTGTGCTGGACGGCAGGAAGCTCCGAAGCGTGTGCGAGTCCGTTTTTTAAGCATGTGTTGGTGACGTTCACTCCCAAAGCGGCCGCAGCGTGTGGCGTTCACTGAGGCTTAAGTCATGGATCTATAGATCCATGAAGTAGTTCAGAGCATCGCTTTGACACAGTTTACTTGATCTGCGGGACCGTGGCTGTACCCGTCTGCTAATCTTCATATGAAATAGAATTAAATACGTCTCATTTGAATAAATACTATTTCTCATAAAGTCATATCTGTGTCAGATCTTATCTGTGGTAAAATCAGCCACATTGATGATGCGTGTGACGTGGAACACGTTTGCCTGCGTCATTTGCATATTGTCCCCTAGATCCAGGGGTGTCCCAATTCTCAGGGAGAATATCCTGTGAGTGCACTCACCTATGGGAAGGCACTTTTCTGGTGAGAGCACTCACACCTCGAGGGCCCTTAGAATTGGGACGGGGCCAAAGTCTAACTAAATTTAAAATGTAATAATTACACACATAAGTCGCTCCAGAGTATAAATCGCCCCCCGGCCTATGAAAAAAAAAAGTGCAATTTATAATCCGAATATACAATAGAAAAATATTGCAAGATTTTGCTAAGCAATATATCATTTATCAAAATTAGTTGTTCTGCTTGTCACATGAGAGTGGGAAACATTTCCCGTGGATGAACAAAAAATAATGCTATAAATGTCAGATTTGTACATTTGCCTTGTTTTTGGTGTCAGTGAGGGGCAAATCCTGTCAGATATGGTGTGTAATAATAATTTGATAAATATTGCAATTCAGACAACTCCAGTGCTCCTGTAAAACCACAAGGACCTGCCCTTGTTCCTTTCAAAGCCCAACACAGCTTTGTGCTACTGCGACTTCATCCAATTTCTCATGCTAAAAAGTGTAAATGTGTTTTATTTTCTCAATTTCTTTACAGGCAACTTAACCCCATGTATGAAGGCTACCTCCAACATGACGCACAGGAGGTGCTGCAGTGCATCCTGGGATATCTGCATGAAGCCTGTGACACCATAAAGAAAGAACAAGAACTGGAGCAGAACGAGCCTGAGGTGAAACAGGAAAACACTACAGCAGAAGAGGAGGCCCAGGTCAACGGAAAACGAAAAAGTGATACGGAGGCCGGAAATGCCAAGAAAAAGCCGAAATCTGTAAAGTCTAAAGGGTCAAGTGGCGAGGAAGAGCAGAGCGGGAGCAGCATACAAACTCGCTCCAAGAGGAAGTCTTCAAGCGAGGCTCCGATTGAGCCGGTTCAAGTTAAGAACGAGGCGCAGGAGACCACAGATACTGACAAGACGAGCTCAGAGCAGGAGAACGAGGCAGACAAAGCTGCTAAACCAGAGAAGGACAGCAAAACCAAGAAGAGAGCCAAGCTGGGCTGGCTCAGGCCTTCCAAGAAGCAACCTAGCATCTTCTCAAAGTTCCGCAGCGTGGGGCGGATCAGCTCGACCAAGACCTCAGGCAATGCTGAAGGCGAAGAGAAGCCTGAGGAGGAGAGCACCGAGGCCCGTCAGGAGATCAAGGCTCAAGAGGATTCTCCAAAGACTCACGGTATGGAACAGAAGGGAGAGAGAATACTTGAATGCTACGTAAATGATATTTTTATGTAGACAACTTTGGATCAAATACATAATTTTAATGTTCTAGTAGCAAATATGCATTTGTGTGTGTAGTGCTATTATTGGGGGGACAATAGAAAAAAAATCTTTTAATCAGGAATTGTATGTATTGGTCATTGGTAGCTACACTACAGTCATTCAAAGACTTGATTGTCTTATAGCCCAGCTCTAACAATTTGAAAATGACTTGTATTTCAGGTGTGTTGGAGCTGATGGAGCGGCTGTTCCAAGGGCAGCTGGTCCTGAGGACGCGCTGTCTGGAGTGTGAGAGCTTCACTGAAAGGAGAGAGGACTTCCAGGACATCAGTGTGCCTGTGCTGGACGAGCAGCCCAGTAGCCCCGACGACCTGTCTGAAGGTAAGACCACAATAATAAACACAAACATCCCTTTTGTGCCAAATGCTTTTTATTATCAGTCCCTTCTGAATGTTGTTGCGTTCGCAACTATTAACTCAAAACTCTGCGAAATCAGTGCAACCTACAACTTTTCCGCAGCTTTACAGAAACAAAAAAGTAGTATGTGTCAGTGTGACTGTCATTGCTCTCCCCCTGTCACTAAACACTAGTTGGCGCTCCTGTCACTCTCCTCTGTGTGCGAGGCTGTCCAAACTCTCCTCCCACGTACATGGTTTCAGGTGACCGCTCAAACAGTGTGCATCTGTAGTAGTGATAAAAAGTGTAATAGATTAAATATACAGAAAGAGAGATTTGCAATAAATAGTTATTTCATAATTTACATAATATAAAAAAACAAGATAAATATGGTTAAAGGTATGTTAAAATATCTACAGTTCATTCATTATTTACATGTTGTGTTTTACAGAAAGGATTGTTATCGACTAGTAAGCCTGAGCTACGATTGAGCGATTGGTTTTGCCCACACCGACAGATGGGGGGGTTTCACGCTGTTTCCTCACTTGTGTTAAACTCCTGCAAAAGGGAAACGCACCCAAATCACTCTCGTGGTTTTCTCCTTATTTCAGGGGTGTAGCACATCCTGTTGACAAAAGTGTATCTTGCTTTATGTCAATAAAGCATGTTTTTTTTTTTTTTTTATGGTAAAGGATCTTATTTGCTTTATTTTATTTTTTTGCATTTATATTTCATCCTAAAAATTTACTTTTTCCTTCCGGAAAGTATGTTTTACAAGGGAAAAAATCACAACGTGCCATTGCATCTTTTGGAAAAATGTCCTGCGAAATCAAGCGTTATAGCTCACAATATTCATGATAATTGCCCGCAAAGTCCTGGAGGGACTGTAATATTGTTTTTTTTACTGAATTTTGAAACTGGCATTTATGTATTCTGTCCTGTTGCTTCAGTCTCTCCAGATCCCAAACCAGACCTAAAGACCCTGAACTGGGCAATCGGCCAGTTTGCTTCTGTGGAGCACATCTTTGGAGAAGACAAGTACTTCTGTGAAACGTGTCATCACTACACTGAGGCAGAGAGGAGTCTGCTGTTCGACAAGACTCCAGAGCTCATCACCATTCACCTCAAGCGCTTCTCTGCCAACACGTTAGAGTATGTCATCACCTGTCTTACACTTATTTAAAGGGGCATTATGCAACTTTTTAAGCGCAGAAAAAAACGTTCATGTTTTTCCATGTTTGACCTTTCGTGTGGCTGAGTGGCTGTATGAGGGGTCAGCATGGTGCCTACAGTTTTGATTAGTGTCATGTCTACAGAGCTCTAGAATCCATTTTTCTTAGGTTTTCTGGAGCAGGGGTCCCACAGCAGAGAAAACCTTCCAAACAATTGATCCTAGAGCATCTTCGAGACCTTTGTGATGCAAAATAAATGACGTGGTAATCAAACAAATCTGACAGCGTTCTTTCCATAAAACGTGCTGACATTACAACGAAAGAAAAGTGCTCAAAATGTATTGTATTTAATCATTTATAAACGCCTTTTTTATTTTTATATATACTTCTTTGAAATGATTGAAACATTACTGAGCTGTAAAAATCAAAACGTGTATTTCCCATGTTGTCATACTAAACATGATCAAATGGCTTAATATTGCCAATCATGCCCACAAAAATCTCAAAGAAATTCATAATGAGTCGTTTAGATCTTCGGGATGCATTTTTATACAGTAAAATTCAGCACTGTCCAGTCCTATTAAATGTAGTTTATTTTCTTGTGTCATTATGAACATTTAGATCTTTAAGGTCTGTCTTATACATTACACAATAAAACATGTTTACTAAGAATGTAGGTACTAATTGTATGTCACCAAACGTATTGTTGTCTAACCAAATAAAATCCCTCTACTTTTTTTCAGCGTGGACTTGTACGCCGGCCTCTCCAAAGTCAACACGCCGCTGCAGACGCCCCTGACGCTGTGCCTGGACGAGTGGTGCACGCAGCGCTCGGCTGAACACGGCCAGAACTACGAGTTGTTCTCCGTGGTCATGCACAGCGGCGTCACCATCAGCAGCGGCCACTACACCGCCTACGTGCGCATGTCCGACCTGCGGGACGTCAAGCTCCGGCGAGACCAGCCCCCCGAGCACGCCAAGGCAGAGACAGACGACAAACCGGCGGAGAAACGGCTCAAGGACGAAGACGAAGGAGAGGTGTTTGTCCCTCGAGCGCAGAGAGGCAGCGCCGTGGGGAAAAAGGCTTCTGAGGGGGGGATAGGGCTTTTGGGAGGACAGAGGAGCGTGGCGGCGTGCGATCTCAAACAGGACAAAGCCGTGGCGGAAGGGACCAAGAGGAGGAAGACCGTCGGGAGCGAAATGGGACTTAAGAAAGCGGCCAATTCACAAGAGGCGACAGAGGTGCAGGCGTGCGGCGACAAGGCCTCAGAGAGCAAGGCCCTGAGCAGGCTCTCGGAGTACGAGGGGAAATGGATGCTCTTTGACGACTCGGAGGTGAGACTCTTTGACGAGGAGGACTTTCTCAGAGCCTGCTCGCCAGAAACGGCCTCGTCATCCACACCGTATCTGCTGTTCTATCGGAGAACTTGTAAACTGTGAGCAGCAGCACCACGGACAGTGCCGTAGCTGTTTGGCTTTTTCTTTTTAAACGGTGCCAATATTGCATCGGAAGCCATAAACACATCTTTGTGTGTGCTCCATCTGTACCCAGGGACTCAAAACTATAAAACTGTCAAAGCCTTTTATTCAGAGAAATTGTCTTTTTGATCGTCCATAAACCTTTTTGTTTGTACTTTGCTGTAACATTGTAGTCGCTTCATAGATGGTGTTTTCTGTGTTGTCTTTTTAAAAAAACATTTGAAAAGCACTTTGAACATTCATTCCCATTCCAATTTTTATTTTTTCCCCCAAGGTATCAACAAAGCAAGCAACTGTCTCTCGTGGAACTTTTCCCTTGAGTAATTGGCAGCACTAAAAAAGTAAACTACTAAATACATCCATCTTGAATGTACAGTAAAAGCTTAACAAACCAAAAGAATTGGTCCAATGATACATTCCAAATAATTTCCTTTTTATCTCAACATTTCATATTTAAATGAAATGTTTTTTTCTTTTCTAGATGTCATCAGAAGTTCAGTCTGCTTTTTAATAAAATGTTGTACAATTGTAATGTAAATATAAAGGTGCCTTAAAGATGTTCTATACGTACATTTTGACGACTGTATATTTCCCATTGCTTATTTTTCAAAAGCATTCTCTGAGTATTATGCTACTAGTCATTTTAGATTTACCTCTGCTGATTACATGCATTTTTATCTTTCACCACTCTCAGGATCTATAGTTGTGGTGGCTAGGGAATTTGTTCAAACACCATATTTATAACGCAAATGTGTTCGTTTGGAAAGCTTCAACTGTACAATACAACCTGAGTGTTGACTTTATTACTGATGTCACTCTTGTAGAAGCAATAAAGATCTGTGTGCCGCTACGATTCCTTTTTACATGTTTTAACTTCAGATATTTGATGTGAAACAGACAGAAGACGGATCCTTGTAACATTTGAATTGGACCGCTAAAATCAATAATGTTAAATTAAGGAAAAAGATGTAACTCAGAAAATGCAATGTGTATCTTGGTAAAAGAGAGGTCAGGTCGCTGGATTCTGGAGCTTGTATTTTTGCTTCTTTGAACCCTAAAAAGATAAACATTGAGGCACCAACTTTCATAAATACATGTTTGTCTCCATTTCATAAAAAATAAATGTCCCATTGAGTCACTGACACTGGTTGAGTGAGGATGGTCTCTTTCTAAAAAGCTGAGGTGTGAATGCTAGTGGTAGGAACTAGTTTAATGGGTTTTATAAATTGGTTCTAATATTTGTGGTCTGAGAATTAGGTACCACAGCTTTATGCTCATGACTCAACTTCTTACAGCTTGAGTCCTTGAACATGCACTAAATTCTTACCACAGTGGTTCTTTCACATGGACATATTAATCTTGTTCAATGTGCACAAAAACCTGCTTTATTGTACTTGCATCAGTGGCATAATGTAGTTTCATTGGGAAGTGTAAAGACAAACTTATGTCAAACCAATAATAGATGGTTTTTCAGTGTAGTTACCTCAAACCACTAAATTTACACTAAAAGGAGTCAAAGTACTGTTAGAAAAGTACAATGTAATTAACAAGCTATAAAACCTGATATCATTGTAATCAAATTTTCACCAATTTATTTCCTGCATTTAATCTAACTGAATTTCATTGTGTATTTGTGGTTGATAAATCAAAGTTTGAAAAAAATAAACAACGGTTGCCTCTGAATAGTTGTCAAGCGTTAAACATGAGGCTCATGTGACTACACCTCTGGCTGAAAGACTCCATCACCTACAGACCTGTTTGGACAGACTGTTTATGTATTGTATTTCTGTTCTTTCAAAATATGGAACCATTGAATTTGAGTCTGAAATAAAGATTTGAAATAGGACCCCAAAGCAGACACTGCAAACCGGTTAGGAAAAAGGGAAACCATTTATTGAGCGCTTGGTTTCCCTGGGCTTGGCTGGGCTGGTGGGTCTCTGGAGCAGGCAGGTGGTCTGGAAAAAAAAAGAAAATATGATATAATACTTTTTTTTTGAAGTTTCACTATATTCAAGCTAAAGATAGGTGTGTACCACTGTAGACGTCATAGTGTGGATTTTTTATTATTTGGTTTCAATTTGACTTCAGCTCTCTGTGATTGTGTCTGTCCTGTTCCCCTGTGGATTGTTTGCCCCGCCCTAATATGTTTCACTGGTGTCTCTGTGTGTCTACATGTGCCCTGTGCACTTCCCCATTTGTTGCTGGTTCATTGTTGTCTGTGTTCCTGGTTCCTGTGTTTAGTTTGGATTTGGATGTTTGTTTCTTCTCTGGACTTTTAATTATCATGAATTCATTCATCTCACCTTGTGACAGTAGAGACAGCATCTGGCAGTGAGACATAGAGAGCTTGATTGTAGTGTCAGGTGTAACTGCTCAGATATCCCACCAGTAAATCACCAAGCCTGCAAGACACAAGAGGGACACTAAGAGAGAGGGGAATAGACAGACGGACACATGGGGGACAGAACACTTATTTTCTGCACCGTTATACAAATGAATTGATTCAGTTGAAGTTGAAATAAGAACCCTTCTAGTTGTGGAAGGGTGCCAATTACTGACAAATATGTTTTGCCCCATTTTATATACAAATATATACATACACCACCCTTACCTGTAGTGTTGCCCCAGTAGCCAGTAGCTCCAGTCTTATCTTGGATCAGGTCCTGTGTGCTGGCCCTCTTGTCCTGGATGTCCTGTGACTCTGAGACGTGTTCCGCTCCCCACTGCTCTGCACTCACTGAAGACAAGCACTTCTGCAGGCACCTGTCTGCATCTGCACAAATACAATTTACTGCTGAGGGAACAGATTTTTAAAGAACATGTGATTCCTGTCTTCCTAAGTTCACCTGGGTCTGCACTGGACAAGAGAAGGCACGCTCCTTTTGTAGCACCGGCAGCTGCCACGGCTGATCAGAGGCTGCCACAATTTCTGCTACTGGCATTTTCATTGGCTAGATACTTCGTTGCATTTTGGGGTGAACATCACCCTGGGCAGGTAGTGGTGCCCCGATTGTTGTCCTTGGTGCAGCTGGAAAACCAAGCACAGTAGGTCAAGATGTTCTCTGCTGAGTTTTACAAAGAAAGTAGTATCTGCTCTAAAGTTTGATGTTTTACTACATTTAAGCTAAAGAAAGGTCTGCACCACAGTACAGATGGAACAATCTGGCAGTGAGACCTGGAGAGCTTATCTGACACCTACAGAGATCCAACTGTATTACCTGCGGTGTTGTGAGTGCATTGTGGGCCTCCCCCCAGTCACAGGACCATCTTAGTCTCCTTGTCCTGGATGTCCTGTGAGCTCTGAGACGTGTGATCCAGCAGCTGTTGCTCTCCACTGCTCTGCACTCAATGAAGAGCTTTGAGTGCACAAATACAATTTAGTGTTGAGTAAACAGATTAAAAAAAACTAAAAAAACATGTGATGTCTTTCCTCCATAGTTTACCTGGGTCTGCTCTGGACACTCCCAATTGAAAATACTAAGAAGAATTATGAAGGTGTGGTGCGCCCCTCTAAAGCCGATGCGCGCTCCGCTTGTGGTCAGCTCGGGTACGTCGCTCCAGTCCACCAGTGCGCATGGGTCTCAGGGCACAATACAGCCACCGCAGCGGGGCCACCTGCGTAGAGAGGGAGGGCCGTCAATACACTAGGCCAGTGACAGGTGGGAGGCTTGGGCTGGTGGTGGTAAGGACCCGGCTCGCAAAAAAAAATAAGAAAAAGCACTCAAAACAAACTAAGACGGCCGAAGCCCTGTTCCCACAACCACCGCCAACGAACAAGAAAGCCACTTAGCTGCGAGGAGGGGGGTTGCCGTACTCTCCCCCTCCAGTTCCCCACGACGCCTCCTGTCACCGGTCTCTCCTCCTCTGGTCCACTCCGCCGGGATCCGTGAGCGATGTCCTGTGGCGCACTGTTCGCTCTGGCCTGATCACCACTGGCTCTGCACTGTGCTGCTCACTCCTGCTCCGGAGACCTAGACTGCACTCACACCTGGCCTTTCTACCTGATTGCACTCACGCCCATCACACACACACACACACACACACACACACGCTCGCATTCCACTTGGTCCACCTTGTGACATCTGTCCTCCAGAGTTCACCTGGGTCTGCTCTGGACACTGATGTCTGTCCTCCAGAGTTCACCAGGCTTTGCTATGGACACTGATGTCTGTCACAGCTGAACCAGAGGATGCCACAATTTGTGCGACCAGCATTTTCAATGGCAGCTAGAAGTGTTTTGTTTTTTTCAGTGCAGAGTAGAAATTAAGTGCCATGTCCGAATTGCTGTTCTTGGTGCAATAGGTAAAAATGCCCTCTGCTAAAAGGCACATAAACACTAGCTGCCACAAAAATGCCACTAAACGTTGAGCTGCCACAGACAAGGCCACTAACGTTTAATGCTGCCACAGAAAATGCCAGTGGCACAAAGTCAGACAGGGTCCTTTTGTGCCGTTGCCACAAAAGGACCCTGCCTTTACTGCTGTTGACACTGATGTTTGTCCTTCCAGAGTTTCCAGATTCCTGAGAGGGGGAAGCAGGAAGCGGAGGAAGGAGAGGGAGGAGGAAGGGCAAACATTTGGGTCCTCTTGAACTGGATCTGATAGGGAAGAAACTCTGGAAGAAGGATTGGGGGAATTCAGAAGGCGGAGATGGGGGTTAGGCGGAAAAAAGGGAGGGAAATGAGCAGGGAGAAGAGAAGGAGGGAGCAGGAGAGGGGGAAGGAGGGTCACAAGGAAGGAGAAGGGCAGAGAGGGTTAGGAGGAAGGAGAGAGGGAGGAAGAAGAGGGAGCAGGGGCGAGGAGAAGGGAGGCAGGAGCAGGAGATGAGCAGCGCCGCCTCTTGGAGCTGGTCTCAGCAGTGCACTCGTCCCTGCTACGTTTACGGGAAAAAGAGGAATGGGGAGAAGAAGTGTTAGTAACTGACGAACACTCTGGGTCACAGATATCTGGACGAGAAGAAGGGAGATTAGGAATGACTGGACCTAAAACAAACTCCTCTGTATCTGGAGACGAAGAGTGCAAGGGGGAGGCAAGGAGGGGAGAAGGAGGAGCAGTACCAGGAGGAGAGGGGACAGCTGCCCCAAAGGTGGGAGGGACCTGAAGAGGAGCAAAAGTGGGGGAGGCAGGAGCTGGATCCAGAGTCTGTAGAAAAACGTCCAGGAACTCCTCAAGGCTCTGGAAATCCGAGGCAGAAAAAGAGGAAGAGAGCGCAGAGGGAGAGGTGGGAGAAACAGGACGTGAGGGGGAGGAAAGAAAGGGAGAAGGAGTGGGGGAGGCAGGAGCTGAATCCAGAGATTGCACAAAAACGTCCAGGAACTCCTGAGGGCTCTGGAAATCTGAGGCAGAAAAATCAGAAGAGGGAGGAGAGGGAGGAGAGGGAGGCTGAACACCAGGATCCACAAGGTCCACCTGCGGAGGATAGACGTCAACCTGCTGAGGGAGAACCACCTGCTGAGGGAGAACCACCTGCTGAGGGAGAACCACCTGCTGAGGGAGAACCACCTGCTGAGGGAGAACCACCTGCTGAGGGAGATCCACCTGCTGAGGGAGAACCACCTGCTGAGGGAGAACCACCTGCTGAGGGAGAACCACCTGCTGAGGGAGAACCACCTGCTGAGGGAGAACCACCTGCTGAGGGAGAACCACCTGCTGAGGGAGAACCACCTGCTGAGGGAGAACCACCTGCTGAGGGCGAACCACCTGCTGAGGGAGAACCACCTGCGGAGGGAGAACCACCTGCTGAGGGAGAACCACCTGCTGAGGGAGAACCACCTGCTGAGGGAGAACCACCTGCGGAGGATAGTAATCCACCTGCGGAGGATAGTAATCCACCTGCGGAGGATAGTAATCCACCTGCGGAGGATAGTAATCCACCTGCGGAGGATAGTAATCCACCTGTGGAGGATAGAAACCCTGCAGAGGATAGTAGTTCACCTGCGGATGAAAGAAACCCTGCGGAGGATGGAAGTCCACCTGCGGAGGAAAGAAACCCTGCGGATGATAGTAATCCATCTGCGGGGGAAAGAAACCCTGCGGAGGATAGAAGTTCATCTGCGGGTGATAGAAAACCTGCGGAGGAAAGTGGAGATTAACCCAATCTTCATGAGCCTGGAGGGCTTCAAGGTGACCTAGAAAAGAAAAAAAAATCAAGTCAAATATTTGTCCTTTATAGCATAATTCATGCATGTTTGAAATATTTAAATCCTAATATATGCAAGATGGCGTTCCGCTGAGCCCTCTGCCCATGTGTAGGACTGTTACAATAACACATTTTCAATTAATTGTCCCGGATTTGTTTGCGATAAAGCAATAATATCGCGATACATTTTAAAATGGCCATTGTGAATGACTGAATTTTCTGGAACCAAAAATACTCCTGGAAAACATAATAACTAATAGCAACAATTGACTATTTGATGTCTGTGATTATTTGGTCTGATGCTATTGTACAGCTCTGGGATTGTCTTTTAGGATACAAAGGTTCTCCCAGGCAACTCATACTGTGGGTCAAATGTGTGCAACATTCTTGGAAATGCGGGATGCTCAATAATATTAAACGGCAGCATTAACTTGGAAATTAAGAAGACCACACTGTCGGTCAGTTGGCACCACAAAGCGCCCATAATGTGTATGGATTTTTTTTAAACAAAGCGTATTAAGAAATGGTGACTTCTGATGACATTAGGGCTGCAAATAACGATTATTTTAATAATCGATTAATCTGTCAATTATTACTTTGATTAATCGGATAAAACAAAAAAGATTGTTATTTTCCATCCCTTTGTTCACAAACATGGCCATGGACCAAAACAAAAAAACATGCAAATATAAGCTATGCAAAGTAAAGTGCACAAAAATAGGGATGCACCAATTATATATTTATTCAGGGATGAGAATTTTCAGTCTATTAGCGGAATTCCGACTTTTTCCCGTTGAAAATGGACCTCTGTGACTTTTTGTTCAAAAGTTTTCAACAAAAGCGACTTGTAAACAGGCGGGTGCGAGGGCGGCTATGTGCGCAGCGAGGTCCTTTGGAGACTTTACGGAGTTTTCAAATAACTTTAGCAGTGTCTTAATCATGGATCTATAATAATAACGGTCTAAATCCAGAGTGATTCAGATAGGAGGGAAAGAGACTAAGCATTGCTACACCTAGCGAGATGAGAGCGAAATCCTGTGTAGGAAATTTTACTTTTACCGACATCCACAAGTTACCAACAAGCATTTTTATTGCAAGGGATTTTCCCTTAGGTGCCCCAGCTTTAATTTAGTGAGTTTTAGTTTCAGTGCTTCAGGAGACACGGGGATCTATAATAATATCTGGATAGGGTATTACTAGCTTATAGCTGTCCCACCAATAGAAGCAGGGCGTGCCGACTATATTCACATGGGCTACCCAGAAAAAAGTCCTATAGAACTCAATGTAAACTAAAACAGCTCGACCTCATCTGACAGAGAACCTACAGCTTTCATAAAGGTTGGGTTTTGTGGTGATTTTAGTGTCCTTTGTCATCCTGAGCTTTCTAGTAGCTCAGGTTTTCTATGAATCTACACTTTAATGCAACAAACTTTGCTGGTTTGGCTCCCGCTCTAGCTCCACATTCCAGAGAAAAAAGTTTACACAAGAAGCACACAGATGTGATTTTCTATTTCACGGTGCACCGTTTTTGATACTGATACTGTTACTGTCAAATGTATCAGTGTTACAGAAATAAAAAAGCTATTGGTACTTGGCATCGGAACTGGAACAAAATTGGTATTTGTTTTCATTAGTACATCTCTACCCAAAATAGTTCAAAGGCAGGCACAAACAGAGGTCAACTTTCCATGTGGTAACTACCGTATTAACAACATCCATTAAGCAAATATAAAAGCAGAGACACAGAAAGGTGTAAGAGAGGAACTTACATAAAGAAGAGTGGTCTCCATCTACAACGTGGGTAGGAGTGCGGTGGTAGTCTCCTAAGACAGAACAAACATTTGTATTTTAAAAGCAACAGTGCATGTTAGTGAGCATAGTACCATAATACAGTACTGGGCCAATAACCACTACGTCTACCAGAATTCTAGAACTCCATAATGTTTAGATAACAACCAGATTTATCAAAAGTAAGTGACTTATACAATGTTTTACCACTACTCACTTTTATTGAGTGCTAAAACTGGTGAACTTGAAATACAGCTAAAACAGTTTGTTAAAAAGGTTAAATCCTAATTATTACAGTAAACAAAGTGTTAAAGAAGCACTCTTCTATGGTGGAAAACCAAGCAAACTCGGCTCAGAACCAGAACCCGTCCAGGTCCAGTCCAGCATGTTGAAAAATGTGTTATAAATGCCATAAAAAGCAGGTTACCAAGCAACCGAATATGACAATAAAAGTAAACATTCCATTATGGAGACGGGCGCCATTTTGTTTCACAAAAACAGCAGGAACATTGTGGACTTCAACAAACCATGAAATAAATACCATTGTTTTCCTGAACATGTCTCAAAAAATGGTTAGTTCGCATCCTAAGCTACAGATTTATGTCACTTTATCTAAGTATTCTCCTTTAATTCATCCTTAAATCGTCGTGTGAAATGTAATGCTACCATATTTTAGAACATCTGAGGTCTGGTCTGAGGTCTGGTTAAAAGCAAAAACCACATTGTATTCTTGATGTCAAACACATCCACTCTTCCCATACATTTTTTACTGATGTGTTTGTGAAATATGACCAATAATTTTACTAAGTTATATGTTAAAATAGATTACCTTGTCCCAGATGGTTGTCCATGTTGATGCGTTCTTGAAATGCTTGCTAGTCTTGTAAATCTGGCAAAGTGTAAAATAATCAATATCAAAATCAAAATAAACAAAGTTTATTCTATGAATAGTGACTGTCCCACTAAGCTGGGTTGGATGTTGTTGAAGTAAGATGTAATGAAAATACCTGCTCGAAGCTCGGAGTGTAGCGATCTCTGACTGGTCAAAGTCAAAGTGACGTCCCTGGCGCCTGGTAGCTATATATATACCCAAGCGTTGCTATGGAAATGACGCAGCTGAATAAGCTTATATGTTTATGTTCCAAAATCACTTTTGCCTATGCTTTTGCCACACTCCTGTCATTGGTGGCTAAGCTAGCACATGTTTTACTTAACTCCATATTGTTTTCAACCCAGTTTCACTGAAGAAAGTGAGCAACTAATACTTTAAGAGAATAAATCATGTTGCACACACCTGCTGCATAATCAGAATAGTCCAAGGATTGTGCGTTTCATTATTTCTATCTCAGATCATCACCCATATGTGCCCACTCATTACTGCGCTTCCTAACACTGCAACACAACCACTACCTACGACTTATATGAGACATCTCTATTTGCTTGAACTTGCTTCACGTCTTCCTCATATGAAACAGACACTGCATACGTTTATATTGAATAGTTGCTGAGGTCCATTTGACGTCCGGCCGCGACTCATAAAGCATTTTGAGTCTGGAATCACCCAGTTTTCAGAAATGCTCCCCCGTTCGCATTGAGTCTAAACCTCAGAGTTTTACGTAAACAATAATTACTAACTTAAATCCCGGTAAGGAACTAGAACCCACTCCTGACGGTCGCCGTTGCAGAAGTTCAATGAGGTTTCAAAATGTCCCTCTAATTTCAGATGTTTCTTGAATTCAAAACTTTCCTGGTCTGATGAATTTCCCAAGACAAAATAAACGTTGAAATATGAAACATACATTATTGAACATTTAAATATTTATTTCGTAAAATATGTCAAAACAAAATATACAGGTACCAAACAAAACACTGGTGCGTCATGATAAATAATATACTTTTTTGCGTGTTTCTTTTTGTTTACATAATCTTCAAGTCATAAAATGCATTACTACACCTTAAGTGCACACATGAAATGAAAAACTTTGACACATTTACTGGCAAATTAAATACAATTTTAAAACAGTTCCATTTGCAGAAACATTTGGCGTGAAAGTAATGGTTTTGGCACTTTTATGAACTGATAAAGCAATTTTTATTGGAGCATTCTTGTTATGCATTCAGGTGCTCTTCAAGGCAGCAGTTGTTAAAGGAAAATTAATGTCTCTTTGTCACAATCAGAGGAAATACACTGGTTTAAAGTTGCATGTCACTTTTCTCGTTTCCATTTCTATTTCCTGCTTCTCCTGGAATCCACAGAAGACGTGCTATTCTTACAATGAGATTTACGTCTTTAAATGAAATGTCAAGATAACTTTTCTTTTAGCTGTGACCAGTTTGTTCAAGCTTCTGATTAACAGTCTGTAAACAAATCAAACACTATATACTTTCTCTCAGAACACTGACCAACTTAAAAACATATTTACACTCAAATAAATTAATATTGCAAAGTCTCTAGTACAAAGTTTCTTCGTCCTCAGAGTTCGAGTTTGCGAAGGCTCAGTCTGCTGAAGGAATCTCTGCAAGAAAAAGAAAAGAATCATGAGAAAATGAATTCACCACTCCTTGTGGATCTACTTTGTCCCTCTGCTTTAGTTTGTACTTTATGTAATGCGAACATGATGTCAAGGATTTTCCAATGATCAATCACTCTTTTGATATCAAACAACTATAATAACCTGTTGATGTTTGGGATTAATGTGAGATTAACATTCTTTCTCAAATAGGGGACATTTATGGACATTGGATATTGGTTCTGCCCCCTTTAGGCCGATGTGTGTGTTTGTGTGTGTTTGTGTGTGTTCTTTTTTTCTGTTCCTGTATTTGAAGTGTTTGATTCTCTTATCTGTTGCAAGTGAATCAACAACTTCATAAAGTCCTACATGATAACTGCTGCTGTGATTTTGGGCTATACAAACAGAAATGGCATTGAATTGCAATTGAATTAAAATGTTGAAATTTTTTGATGACCCCAAATGTTGTTACAGTTAAAATTGCAACAACAAAAAAATAACAATGCAGTGATCTGTGATATTTTTCTTTTTTGTTTTGCTCTCTACAATGTGCAATATTCATTCATTCAAAAGTTTTTTCCAAGTTTCAAATTCTCATGCAGCCTGCAAATGCATGGAAGTTGTGACAAGCGCATGACTTCAACACTTTGAACACACACACAGACAAACTGTTGCTTAGTTCTTTCTGGACACAGCGTCGGTTTTATTTTTTGCCTTTGGGGAAAAATGAGGAGCAGAGGGTTATGTTGAGACAGTGCCCAGGCTCTGACCCCTCTTTGGTAAACTTTGGTGCACATGCAATATTTGATGAGATAATGTTCCATGTTTAACATGCAACAGTTGGTGTCAGCGGCCTGACAAGCTTCAACTCAACAGACTTTCAAAACCAGGAGTGAACAGGAGCTCAACATGACAATATCAAAGTACCTGATCAAGCTGTCCGTTTGCTGCTGGATCGTTACAAAGGTGAAATAAAAGCATTTAATTTCTATAACTTAAATTAACTGAACTCTTGAAAACATGTACATACAACTAAAGTACAATACCTAATGATTGAAACCCCACACTTTATAGTTTGTAGTTCAGGAATAAAAAACAATAAAAGTCATGTAAAATAAAACAACTCTTGAACTTTTGGAACAAATAACTGTACATCTGCACTGCTAATGATAACTGTACATCCCCCACATGTTGCAGCTTTCTCTTGCGATGTGGCATTTGCAGCTGTGCGAACTGGAGCTTCCTGATCAGGAGCGTGCAGTTTTCAGTCAAAATACAGTCTCAAAGAGAGAGCGGCAGAGACGGAGCCGTTTTTGAGATTTTTTTTTTGAGAAGTGGCCAACTGATAGGAGCAACTCAAGAAAAGTCGCAGCAAAGGGCAAAAAATATATTAAAAAAATCGCATCAAGGGGTGCCTAATGCTCAGGATTAATGTTAATTCTAGTAATATTCTCTGCTGCTAAAGTACAATATAAACATCAGTAAATACCTCCTGCTGACTACAGTATAAACTCTACTACTGGGCGGCACGGTGGCTGAGTGGATAGCACTCTCGCCTCTCAGCAAGAAGGTCCTGGGTTCGAATCCCGGTTGGACCAGGGCCTTTCTGAGTGGAGTTTGCATGTTCTCCCCGTGCCTGTGTAGGTTTCCCCTGGGTGCTCCGGTTTCCCCCACCACTAAAAATATGTACAATAGGTCTGGCATGTGCCTCCTGTACTGGCACCCCCACTCCCAAAAACAACAATTGTAAACCGCTTTGAGACTCCGATGTGCAGTGAAAAGAAGGTATATATATATAAATAAAGATTACTTACTTACTTACTAGATTAATATCGTCAAACCAAGTGCAATTATAGCAACAGAGTTTTACTTTAATTCATTATCTTATTACTTAATATTTTATTCTATTATCTATTATCCTAAACAATAGCTCTTGTTTGATTCATGCAATCTGAGTCCTCTTCAATCCTCCTTTTATTCTGCTGTAATGTGCGCAACAATGACATTGAAATTTCCCCACTGTGGCACGAATAAAGGACAATCTTATCTTATTACAGTACAGCAGGAATGAGGAGCACACAGCACAAGGCCACGACTCTGTAACTACTTAGTAAACCTCAAAGTATACAGAGGTATAGCCTGAATATGTGCGAGCGTTGGCCTCTCACCTGTGCGCGTTGACCTGCAGCACAGGTTTGTCGAGCTGTGGGATCTTCCTGTTGATCAGCGGCTGCAGCGCCTCCTTCAGTCTGTGGTAGTTCCTCTCCAGCTCCCTCTGGTATTCTTTCCGGTCTGGCCCGATCAGGCTCTTGTTCTTACGCAGGGCATCCTCACACCTGCACAAACACATGGCACGTTGTCATTATCATCGTGATGTATTCTGGTGTTGCGCCTTTCCTGTAATAAGCCCCAAGACTGAGTTCAAGGGGAGATTTGCTGCTCCAGGGCCGAAGGGGTGCGTTCCTCCGGGGCGTAATTCCCTTCTTGTTTGACCCTTGCTGTTAAAGTGTGGTGCGGATATAGGGACACGGACTGTTGCTCAAGAGTGGGGATTATATCTCTCCCAAAAACAACATGCCAAAAACTAAGCTCCCTGTCTTGCTCCGGTCGCACTCTCGCTCATTCCTAGCTTTCACTCTGTCTCTGTCTATCGGCGTGCTCCCGTCACCTCTGCGCGCTCCCACACACACACACACACACACATTACCCACAAAGCTACTGCACTTGTGAGATAGGCAGATCTCACAACACTACCCCCACCCTGGATGGCAATGACCAATTCCAATCCAGTAACATAATAGAAAAACGGGTACACGTTTCCCCTAATAGCAGGCCTGAGAATAACTAAGAGGTAGCAGTGTCCATCATAACTAAACAGGTAGGCTTCAATACAAAAAATGCTGTCTACTCAGTGACATATTAGCTTATTTAAGGCAACATGTGAACATCAGTGATTAATTAAAAAAAAGGTAAACATTACACTTCTTAGTTATTGTGGCGACCGGGAGCAATATAAAACTGACTGATAATTACAAATAGAAAGTAACTTGTACAGATTAAGCATGACTAAAGTGCACAGGTATAGAAATATACAGACTCTTTTTTTTTTCTTTCAAACTGCAAAAAATAGAAAAAGGTGCATTTAACAGATACACAGAACACAAGACAACTGTTTCAAAATATAAACTGCAACGTCTCTAGTGCAACTTCAGCCGTAGAATATAGTCTACTCGGTTAACCAGTCACCATACCGGTCCGGAGCTCGGCGCTGACGTGTGGAGTGCGGTTCCACAGGGCAAGGGACCCAACCACATCGGATGCAGACGAAAGTGGCAGCTGGGCATGGCTAGCCCCGTCACTGAACATCGGGGAGAAGAGGCTCAGCAAACCGAGGTCTTGGTCAGCGGCTTCTTGATCCGCAGCACCCTGGTCAGCGACGCCTTGGTCCACAGCACCCCGGTCAGCAACACCTTGATCTGCAGCACCCTGGTCAGCGACGCCTTGGTCCACAGCACCCCGGGCAGCGGCGTCTCCGTCAGCGGCGTCCCCGTCAGCGGCGTCCCCGTCAGCGGCGTCCCCGTCAGCGGCGTCCCCGTCAGCGGCGGCGTCCCAGTCAGCGACGTCCTCGTCCACAGCTGGAGGCTGGACCTCGGCAGGTGTCCAGCGTTGGCCGTGGTTCTGGACCCAGGCGCTGTCCAGTGGATCACGGCTGCGGTAGGGCTTGAGTTGGTCATGATGGACAACTTTTACTCTAGATCTGGGGCTCTTCTGAATCCTGTAGACCAGATCGTCCAACTGTCCAAGAACGAAAACGGGTCCTTCGTAAGCGGGAAGAAACTTTCTGACTTTGTTTTGATGTGACGCGTTCCTTTGATGAGATACCACACAGCATCTCCAACTTTGTACTGTGTATGGCAAGCATTTTTGTCGTACTGTCTCTTCGCACTGACTCTCCCAGAGCGTCTCGAGTGATGTGGTGAGCTAGCTCAAGCCGCTCACGCATTTGCTGTACATACTCTGGGGTTGAAAGTGCACGGTCAGAGTCAGGGGGCAAGCCAGCTACAAGATCCAAGGGTTCATTGATCTCACGTCAAAACATCATAAAGTTGAACTGTGCTTGGTTGATCTGTAGGCCATGACTGCGTATGGGATCATTAAGTCCCAATCCCAGTGGCAACGTTCCGCAGTAGAGGCCAGGATCTTCTGGAGTGCAGCATTGAAACATTCAACTTGGCCGTCTGACTGCGGTCTGAAGGATGTAGTGTGGGTTTTCTCAATGCCAAACAAAAGGCACATTTCCTGAAACACTTCTGACTCAAAGTTGCGTCCTTGATCGCTGTGCAGAGAGTGAGGCATTCCATAGCGACACACCCATTCAGTTGCTACAACTTCGGCCACTGTGACAGCCTTTTCGTCAGGGATTGGAAATGCTTCAGTCCATTTTGTGAAATACTCCTGTATCACGATGTAGCGGTTTTTGCGATCGGTTTCATTGAGTGGGCCCATAATGTCTAGTCCAATGCGCTCCATGGGGCACCAACTCTGACAGTTCCCATTGGAGCTCGCGGTGTCTTTTTGGGTCTGGCCCTACAGGCACAGTCTGTACATGTACGGCACCAGAGAGCCACGTCTTCTCTCATGTGATACCAGTAGAATCGGCTTTGAAGTCTGGCCACAGTGCGCTCAACACCGAAATGTCTGCCAAGTTAACCGGCCCCTCGTGCATCTGGCGCATAACATCGGGCTGCAGTTTGCGTGGCAGGACTATTTGGGGATAAAACTGGGTGTCGTCCAGACAGTAAAAACGTCGGACCAGTACTCCGTCTTTGAAATAAAGTCTCTTCCATTGACAGCATGGCTGCATGGGGACACAATGGAATATGGAGGGCGTTCAGCACTGGCTTCCAACCAAGCTCTGATTGGGGCAATATCTGAATCTGCAGCTTGGGCATCACGCAGTTCCTCCATGGTCCAGCCCGGAAACAATGTGATCTTGTTTGTATTTGTCACATAGACTGTCTCTGTGTTGCTCTCTGTGTCTTTGCTTACCCCCACCGGAATCAGAGCTGTTTCAGTTACGGGGCGTGTCTCTATCCCCACCGGACTCTGCAACAGGGATCTGGAATCAGAGTCCATCTCACACTGGATTGCTTGATGACATGTGGTTTTAGGCTGGGAGGAGGGATCCTGCAATTTACAGGGGAAAGACTCACGACAGGGCCTGCAGGAGAGACTGTCAGCGTTAGTGTGTAAGCGACCTGGACGATGAATGATTTCAAAGTCATATTCCGCCAGCTTTTCCAACCACCGTGCTAGCTGGCTCCTTCATTCGCGTCAGCCAGCGCAGGCTGCTGTGGTCGGTACGCACTCTGAATGGTCGTCCGAACAGGTACTGTCGGAAATGAGAGGTGAACTCTACAATGGCCAACAGCTCTCTTCTGGTGGCACAATAGTTTTGCTCAGCCATGGCCAGCTTGCGGCTGCCATAGGCTAAAACACGCTCCGCGCCATCCTGCATTTGTGACAGGACCGCGTTGATTGCCGTATCACTGGCATCGGTGTCGAGGACCATATCGCCCTGGTCTAGCGGGTAACCCAAGACCGGAGCAGTGGTCAACAGCCGCTTAAGTGTGTCGAAAGCAGCTTGGTGCTCGGCATGCCACTGGAAGCGTACGTTTTTCTTGGTCAGGTTGTGCATTGGTTCGGCTATTGAGGCAAAGTCTTTCACAAACCTGCGGTAGTAGGAGGCGAGGCCAATGAAACGCCTTACATCTTGGACAGAAGTGGGAGCGGGCCATGCCTGGACTTTGTGGACCTTGTTTGGATCAGTGGCCACACCGTGACCCAAATAGGTGACCTGGCGGTGGAAGAGGCTGCATTTGGAGGGTTTTAATTTTAGATTTGCTTGTTGGAGTCTCTGGAACACCTGGCCTAGCCGCTGCAGCATCTCTGGAACGTCCCTGGCCAGCATGATTATGTCGTCGAGGTAAACCAGACAGGTCTCCCTCTGCATACCAGCCAGGACGCGGTCCATTAAACGCTGGAACGTGGCTGGTGCGTTGCACAGGCCGAATGGCATGACGTTCCATTCAAACAGGCCGTTCCGTGTGCAAAAGGCGGCTGCGCGGCGGGCTCTGGGTATGAGCTCCCCTTGCCAATATCCTGCGGCAAGGTCCAATGTGCTGAACCACTTAGCAGAGGAAAGTTTGTCCAGCGTGTCTTGGATCCGGGGCAGCGGGTATGCATCGGTGATGTTGTCACCGATCTGCCGGTCTGCATCCTGCTGCTTTTCCACAGCCAGCCGGCGTGGGGGCTGCTTGACTGGAGCACCGGGCCGGGTGAGGATGTCATTCTGGACGAGGCTGGTCCGGCCCAGACTACCGGGTCCCCTGGAAAATACACTTTCATATGCACACAACAGGTTGGTTAATTCGACTTTTTCAGTGTCATTAAGGTCAACAGAACTCTGGGCATAGAGCTCTTGGAGGTGCTCTGGAACAGATGGGGAACTGGTCAGAGAGTCTGTGGCGTCTTTGGATGAGGGAACAGTCTCTGCTGGCTGAAGGAGACCAGCAATGGCGCCTTCTTAACAGTCACAGGTTTATTGCCAGGGTTGAAGAGGCGCAGTGGAATAACTTTGGTGTGATGAGCATGGACGAGGACTCTAGCGATGAGCACTTTGTGTTTCTCAACAAAACCTTTTGTAGGGCTCAGCATCATGTCTCCTTGTACAGCTTCATCAAGGTGCACAGTGCCTTTGACCCAATACTCCTGTCCGGGCTCCATCACAAGAGTTCTGGCTATTCTCACAGCATGCGATCTGGACACAGTCTCTGGGTGGAAATAGGGCACTTCTTCACCGAAAAGCACAATGCGGTGCTTACCGAAATCAAGACGGGCTTCAGCCTGCGTGAGAAATGGGTGACCAAGCAGTACATCCTTCCCTGCAATGTCCGCTATCAGGAAGTCAACTTCGACTTGACGGTTGTGAATATTGACTGGAACTTTGGTTTCACCCAGCACCAGAACATCACCAGGTCCCACTCCAATCAAAGTCTCTACTGTAGATGGGCTCAGAGGGTGCATCATGTCTCTGTGCATGGCATTGTAATGGCATGGAGGCAGCACGCTTCTACGAGCCCCAGTGTCCAAAACAGCACACACCTCCAGCTCGAAAATGCGTAAATGGATGCTCATTTCACGATTATTGGCTTTGAGATTAATTACGGTGGGTTGTGAGCTTTCACGGGGAGTGCTAGGTGCAGGTGGTCTAGCAGTCCTGGCTGTTCTGTGGGTGGAGGAGCACTGATTACGTATGTGTCCCCAGCCATTGCAATTATGACAGCGGACGTCAGTCTTCTTAAAGTTTTTATGCTGGTTTTGTGTCTTTAAGGGTGTGGTTGGAACATACCAGTTTGCCGCAGGGTCTGGCGGGGGTGTAGCAAGAGCAGCCTCAATCTCCCGTACAACAGCGGTGCAGGGTCTGCGCTCGTTCAGGTTGCGGGCCCCAGGCTGCATGATGCTTGTGATGCAGCTCTCTTCGTTGTTTCATGGCGATGAGCTATTTCATAAGCTCTCGCCAGTGTGGACGGGCGAGTTTCCAGCAGTTTTTGAATAACATCGGCATCGCCCAAACCATTTGTGAAAACTTCAACAGCGATAGCATCCTGCTCCCTCTCGGATCTGTCACCATAAGCCACAGCCACTTTTCCATAAATATCGTCCCGGATAACGTGCAACGCCTCACCAGCTTGGCGTATTCTCTGCCTCAGTTCCACTGCAACCGCTGCCGCATGATCTGAGGAAGGGCCGTACGCGCTCTCCAGCTCCTGTAGTAGCCGCTGGTAGTCCCATTTCGATTAGCGTGGACATTGTGGTCAGAGTGTGTGGAGGAGGAGGAGGAGGAGAGAGTATGTTGTTGTGGTCAGAGTGTGTGGAGGAGGAGGAGAGAGTATGTTGTTGTGGTCAGAGTGTGTGGAAGAGGAGAGAGTATGTTGTTGTGGTCAGAGTGTGTGGAGGAGGAGAGAGTATGTTGTGGTCAGAGTGTGTGGAGGAGGAGAGAGTATGTTGTGGTCAGAGTGTGTGGAAGAGGAGAGAGTATGTTGTTGTGGTCAGAGTGTGTGGAGGAGGAGAAGAGTATGTTGTTGTGGTCAGAGTGTGTGGAGGAGAAGGAACGTATGTTGTTGTCAGAGTGTATGGAGGCATGGCAAAAACGTTATTTGATGAGAAAAAAACAAATGTTGACTCCGCCTCATTGCCATTTTGGCGCATTTTGCCGAAATCTAACTATTAGAACAAAAAGACTCGTTTTGGTTCAATCTTTTGAGCTGCTCTGCCATTTTGTCAAAGAACGAACGAGCCATTTCGTTCGTTCGTTTTACTGCAAATGGCAAATAAATGAATCTGAATGTCAGCTAAAATGACCGCGACCAATATCGCAATGCCAAGCGCCGTAGTGTGTGTGTGTGTGTGTGTGTGTGTGTGTGCGTGCGCGCGCCCAACGCTGCGCGCGTGCTTATCTCTTCAGGCACCGCGGGAGGCGGTGCTAAATTCATGCCAAAGATTATAACAGGAAAAACTTTCCTCAGATCTGGGAAAAAAGTGTCGTGTCAGGGCCTCGCGTTTTGAGTTCGCACAGCTTTCACTCTGTCTCTGTCTATCGGCGCGCTCCCGTCACCTCTGCGGAGCTGCGCGCTCCCATACACACACACACACACACACACACACACACACACACACACACACACACACACATTACCCACAAAGCTACTGCACTTGTGAGATAGGCAGATCTCACAACACTGGGAAGTATTCTCGTGGTCCACATACCTCTTAGTGAAGTCTTTGAAGCAGAGACGAAGCTTGTTATGGTGTCTGTACAGTTTAGGGTCACTCGGAATCTCTGATAGGAAAACTTGAGCGACTTCCAAGGGTCCCTGACAAAAGATCAACAAATATTTATTATTAATTTGAGACAGAATTCATGTTATATAACAAGTACATTATTCTAGTGTGTTGTACTGGTTTAAAGTTGAAATAACTAGAAACTTGAATGTGTTTAAAGTGATTGTCTGCAGTTTGTCAGAAAGAGAGAGAGAGAGGTACTTGATTTGAAAAATACGACGCAATCTCCCTCCCCCTTCCTTTCTGATGAATTAAATCTCTTGTGTTAGCTCAATGTATGTCACTTTACATGCGTACTTTCGAAATTATTCGTAACTCTTGATGGCGCCTAATGTTTTTTTCTGTTTTATATCTTCTTTTCGCCAGTGTGGGGTGCTGTTCCTTCGATGTAAACTGGGCCTGAACGCAGATGCTCATAAAGATGCCAGTACTTCAGGGAGGTACAGTTGTTGCGACTCTGGGCAGCCCCATCAAGAAGAATAAGTTGTCCCTCAAGTTTTTCCATAAAAAGGAAACCAAGCGAGCTTTGGACTTTTCTGAACCTCAACCTGATGAAGCGGAGGAGTCAGTGGAGCAGGAGCCAAGGTAAGCCTGGGTGGAGCAAATAGAAATTCCATATTCAATTCTATTATAGTATTGTAATGGGTCCAATCCGGTCCAATGCAATTAAATGAAACATTTTTGTCTAGGGGTGATGGAAGATCACAAGAGTTAATTTCAACCATGATAACAATAACTGTAACTGTTGATGATACAGTTTTTTCTTTCGTCACAGGGCGGCGCTAGTGTGCATTTTATCATCGCCAAAGTTTTATTTTATTTTTGTACATTTTTATATTTGTGTTCTGACTATTAGATCAGTATTGCTTAAGTTTGAGGAAAGATAATAATTAATGTAGATCAATATTTCAAATGTATAGTTTTATGCCTTTGAGATCGCTACTTCCGGTTTGCCGATAGTTTTTAGTTAGTGGAACAAGTCAAGTTAAAGCTGCACTAACTGACTTTGGGATTTTGAAGCCGCGGACTCGCTGGCCTCGCTCTTTCTGCTCCCCTCCCCGCACCCACGAAGCTATCGCCCCCCACACACACTCACTGTTGTTGACGGAGCTAGCGTCTCCCAATATGGATAATACATGGATATGTATTTGCACGTGGATGGCGTGACCATAGAACGATAGAACCGGGAAGCGCGGAGGAACGAGACTTTCTTTTGGATGGCTGTCTCGCTGTGTAAGCGGGTGCGTACCGATGTTCCCCGGGTCCGATGTTCCCCCACTTCTATAGGCGGGGGAACATCGGACCCGGGGAACATCGGTACTTCGCGTATTAAAAAGTCCCGATGTTCCCCGGGTCCGATGTTCCCCCGCCAATAGAAGTGGGGGAACATCGGGACTTCAACAACGAGACTAGTGCCGCTGTTCCCCGCGTGCGCGCTTTGATGTTTGATGTTTCCTCCTCCACGAAAGATGGCATATGATCCGCGCCAACTTTTGTGAGAGAAAAAATACTATAGCCTAAGCATATTTACTTTTCTTTTTCCCTCTCGCTCTTTGTGTGCTCATATTTCAGCTGATCGCAGCTTGAGTCTATGCAGGATATTTTTGGGCATGTTATGGGCATGTTATCTCCCCTTGCTCACTCTCCCATGGGCATCTATATATTGTCAAGTCTGACTGAATAAAATGAGGACGATTGAAACTAGAGCTACTACATCTGTTAGCCTATAGTTTTTCCAAATACGTGGTTTTTCTGAGGGCACTGTGCTTTTACGCATAATGGACACGCATATGACGTCGTTTTTGTTGTAAAACGAATATGCTCTTTTAGTTTTAGAGATATTAATACATATTATTCTATTCAGAATGCGTGCGTCATTGTGCATTGTTGTCCCGCCTTACGTGTCACTCACAGTTAAAATGTAAATAACCAATTCAAACATAGCATTTTTACAACTTGAACTTTAAGAAAAAAATGATCAAAGGAATCAGTGTAAAATAAGATCGGAAAAGCTCAATTCATGATTGTTTAATTAGGTTTCCCATTTTTAAATACAATTGGAAACGCTCAGAATTCAAAAATATTGAAAAGTGTATTGGCTCCTACAGTGGGGGGAATAATAATAATAATTATAATAATAATATAACCCCCTGAGCGTCATCACGTTCCTACGTTGCTTCAAATATAGTCCTGTTTATTGGCTGAACAATTTTGTCCAATATCATATCACACAGCGTGAAGCGAGAACAACCAGCTATTCCTCGTCTTAAAGATTGACATCGCTCTCAAAGCATTCACAACAGAGCAGCCTTTTTCATTTTAATTTTAAGAAAGTTCAGCGTGAACTTTGTGAGGTAGAGGAGCCAGAGGCCCGGGCCCGTAGGTCCCAGAGGAGGAGAGCGCGGTCAGGCCAGGCTCGCCTCGCACTGATGAGGTAAACTCTAGGCCTGTGTGAGACACACTGTGGGCCTCACTGTAGGCCTCACTGTGGGCCTCACTGTAGGCCTCACTGTGGGCCTCACTGTAGGCCTCACTGTGGGCCTCATGTGGGCCTCACTGTGGGCCTCATGTATGAAACCTGCGTACGGCCAAATCAGGGTAAATGAGGCGTACACAAAATATTACACTTTTCCGCATTTATCTATCTGGACGTGAGCGTACAATACGCAAAAAATAAACGCCAGGTCTGGAGGTGGTGTAAATCTATACGCTGAACTCAACCTTCGGCACAACACGCATGAAATTCAAGATATGTACAACAATAAACATATTCCCTCTGGCAAAATTATATGCTGTGTTTTCATTGAGGATCATGTTTCAAAATTTGAATTTGCGCATCAGAAAAAGTCTAATGGAAACACGCAAACTTCGAATAAATCACAGCTCATGAGGACCCTCTATTAAATCTGACTTGTGTGTGTATTATTTTGATCTGTATGTTTTTAAAATGTGAAGCGCTTTGTGATCCTGGACAGTGAAAGGCTCTATATAAATTTTTTTATAACTTTAAATCTCTCGTAAAAACCCACCTGTTTCATCTTGCCTTTCCTTAATTTTGTTATTCAATGTTTATTTCTACGTGTTTTGTAAAGCGTCTTTGAGTGTCCAAAAAAGCGCTATATAAGTTTGATGCATTATTAAATACACTTTACGCAACAGGGATGTGTGACCCAGCTGTTGCTGTGGCAGGCTCTGCGCTGCGTAATTACGCACGGCTATTTGTATTCCTCATTCACATCTGGTAAAGCAATGTGTTATTTCATTAGATTTGTGTAAGCCTCACACAGACACACACCCCAATAACGCATCGATGGTATTGCTCACTCAAACGTCTCACTGCCCTGTCCAGAGTGCGCAGCGAGTGCCGTGAGAGGTCGCGCCACATGTGCAGAAGTTTTGGCTCCAGAGTTTCTTTGTGAAATCTGGACCGCAAACGCTCTCTGAAGTGTACAGCGCCTCAATGCGCACTTCTACCCCGAGCCAGGCTGCGTCCAAGACGCTGCAGACGCTTCATTCATGAGAGCCACCGCTGCATAATATATATGAATTAATTCATTCATTCAATCAATCTATATTTATTCACTTCTACAATTCAATAAGGATTTTTCTAATGTATCAAAAGATTTTGGCAAATTGCGTAAATGGAATATACACCCAAAATGTACACCTTTTTCAACGCAAGTTTCATAAATGAGCTTGTGTGTATGTGCGCGCGTGAGTGCGTGTGCGTGCGTGTGTGCGTTTGAACCATATTCTTTGAAACCCCAATTCCAGTTAGCCCTTGTAGTTTGCAAGCGAATTTGGCCTACTTACTAATCTGCAGGCCTACCCAAAATAGACTAGTTATGAGCGAAAGCCGCTTGTTGCTCCATTATCCGCGCGCAGCAATAACATGTCT